GAATGACCATCTAATTTGGTTTTTTATTATCCTGTCTTAACATCCCATAAACAGATAGAGTTATCATCACTAACAGATGCTAATGTAGTACCATCAGGAGAGTAACAAATTGAAGAAACCCAATCTGAATGACCATCTAATTTGGCTTTTTATTATCCTGTTTTAACATCCCATAAACGGATAGAGTTGTCCCTACTACCAGATGCTAATGTAGTACCATCAGGAGAGAAACAAACTGAATTAACACAATTAGAATGACCATCTAATTTATTTAACTCATGTATCTTAATGTTTTTCCATTTACAATTGAACAATTAAGCTTAATTCAAGTTTATTCAACTTATATCCACATTGTAAAATTTTGATCCATTGATTATACATCTTACAAAATTCCCACCAACTAAAGAGGTATTTCTTATCCTGATATTCTCAAAGCTTTATTCCCTCAAATCCACTTTCATTTAAACTAGCAAATGAAGGGAATATGATCCACACCAAATATAGGTCTCATCTAAAGCAGTTAGATGAACTAAAAATTTTAGGAATTCTATTATCTTCTTATTCAATGCTATTTTTGTGATTAGATCCTTTTTAAATTCTTCATAATCATCCTTAGAGTAATTCTGTTTATTAAAGTCATAATCCATAACTTTTTTGAGGACATTTGTTATTATCTTAATATTCTTCTCTTCATTAAGAGTCTATTCTTTCTCAAGCAGAGATTAGTTTTCTACTTTTAACTTTCAATTTCTAAAAGGAATTTGTTTTGATCTTATGAGAGAAATTTTAGGCAGTTTTAGATTCTCTCTTTTTTCAATGTGTTTATCAGGATAGGGAGGAATACTTCAACCTCATTGGATAAGGACAAAACCTCATACAACACTTCTACTTACTCTTTTTTGTGGTGCATTACCTTTTTTTTAAAAAATTATTGAATTTCTATTACTTTATTTTGAGTTTTATACTATGAATCAACAATGTATCTTTCACATTTTTGTTTGGCAAAAATATCAATATCACAAAGATTTAGGATTGATGTAAATTATACAAGGGAAAACTTAAATTGACTTATGCATAATTGGATTCCAAAAGAATATAGAATAAAAATAACACAAATAATTCAAAACACTAATATA